AAGATGAGAAAAGCAAAAAAATAAATAAATAAGTAGAAGAAAGAAATGAAAAAGAAACTTTGACTTGAAGGTGGTGAGCAGTGTTGGCCAAGTTGAAAGTAGTAATTAGTTACTAATTATTTCTCCAAGAAAGTAATCCTGTTACTTTACTGATTACTTATTTTCATTTTAAAATTTGTTTTATTAGTTTTAACTTTATGCATCAAGCAAAAATGTAATTATATGCAACAGTCTCTGACTTGAAGACATTTGTTTAACCTTTAAACCTATTTCATGCATATTCCAGCATATAAAATACTTTTTTGTGTTTACACTCCCTCTTTCACATAGATGTGATTAAATAACAGCAAAAATGAAATAAAATCAAAGATTCAGCGGCACTAAGTCCCGTCGCTCTTAAATCTATTTTCACCTGTTTAGCAAGAGTGGAGGTGGAGGTTTGCCTGATTTGAAGTTTAATTTTCACTGTAGAAACAAGTTTTCTTCCAATGGAGAGTGTACATCAGAAGATTTCTACAGATTTAAACTCAAAGTAATGTCAATACTTCCAAGCTTAAAATGCTGCACGGTCATACTTTTTCCCGCCCTCTATTATTGATCTACGCAAGTCTGTTGCTACCACGGCACAGACGTCGCACGCTTGTACGCCATCGTCATTGTCTTACTGTTACTTTCTCGTAAGCACGCTGAGTAATCTAATTACTCATTACTTGAAAAAAGGAATCGGATTACAGTAACGCGTTACTGCCCATTTTTGGTGGTGAGTAAACAGAAGAATGCTTGGAGCAGTAGGTGTATCAAGGAGCATGATATACCTCCGTCTCCTGAACCGCTTCATCTCCTGTTCTTTTTACTGCGTATTTTTCTTAATAGAATTATATTTTTTCAAAGTCATTTTATCCCAAGCACAACCTAAAGAGCCAGCATGCAATTTAGCCACTTTGGCTTCAGTACAGAAGCCCTGCGGTAGTAAAGATATATCAGTCTGTGTTTGTGTTTCTGAAAAGAGAAGCTGAACTGAAATTGATATCATAGGTTTGGGTGTGTTAAAAATGAGGGCAATCATTCAGCTCAGTTTTCATTTTACCCCTGTATCGAGCGTATTGGAATTTGTGTTGAACGCTAAAATGAATGAGCTTATCTCACTGAAAAGCCATTAGTGTTACAGATTGCATTGACTTTCACTCTAAAGCCTGCCAAAGCTTTTGTCTCTACTCAGCGGTGATTTAGCCTGCGAAGGCTTCTGCAACATATCTAAGCTATCATTGACATTGATTGGCCATATTTAGTATCAAGGGACTCAGCATTGTGTTTTTAATTTAATGTCTCACTTCTGATATTCTCATATGCAGTCAAATAAATGGCACCCTGTTGGAAGAAGCGGTTAAGCTTTATATTGTTAACTAGCACAGTGCAGTTGTTTGCGTCGGGAATCTTGGTAGTTAAAAAAAATCTTTCACTTCCTGTTCAGTCTTCCCCGTTCTACGCTGTGGGTTATCAGATGTTAGCTGGATGAACGTATTTTACATTGTTGAAAGCATGCTGCTGTAAAGTCAGTCTAATTGAACAATAAAGCGCCGTAATCCCCCTGTGTGCATAATGATATAAGCTGCAAGGAATATTCAGTACTCAATTAATTTTGGAATGGGCGTCATTCAGTGCTGTTTTTCTGTTTTTCTTCTCTGCTGAACACCTCAAGGGAAGACTTTCGACAGCTGTTATTTGCATAGTTTTCCTAGAAAAAGTCTGTGAAATGATCTTGATGTGTTGACAGTCCTATCCAGCTGTTCCTCTGGGCTCCAGAGCAATAACAGTAAGGTAGTGCGAGAACAGAGAGGGACGGTCTTATTGCCATCTTAGGCGGTGAGCTGCTTAAGGTTTATATTGGTAATATGAACACTACATGCAGATCCAGGTAAACCTCATGTAATGACCAGTGCAGTTAATGGGGAATTATTCTTTTTTCCTTTTGCTTATATTGTTCACTAATGAAACATAGTACAAATCCATACATTTCCAGAAACATCTGCAAAATAATCATCTGTGCGTCTGCTCTGTTCCTAAAAAGAACTTTGCTTCACTTTCCTTTACCTTTCCTTTCCTTCTAGTTAGTGAGTTCAGAAACAACATGTACAGTACAGTGAGGGCTTATTAAAGCCTGATTTGGCAGGTGGGGAATGCTAAGAACGGGTGCAGCAGCGCACCGTGGGGGAGAATTACTTCAATTAATTCACACAAAAACTTATTTTGTGAGTTTGTGTTCAGGCTGTGATCAGCTGACCTGTGATGCTGCTGCTGTGAGATGCTCCGATTTTGAGCAGATGTTTCATAAGCTATGGGGCAGATTTCCAACCCTAGACTGTATAAAGCAAGAGTAAGAGGTGAAATTCCGTGAGTGAATCTGATCTGTATATTTTTTGGTAAACTGATGTTATTACCCTGGTTGTAACCTAACATAAACCGTGAACATCACGGCGACCTTTACCACAGTACTGCATATTGACCAGCTTAACCTGCGCTAAACTGTACCAAAGTACAGTATTTTCATGGAACTTTTAAATCCACTGCATAATTAGTAAACTTAAGTTTCTTTTGCATGACATTTCACAAAAAACCTATTTCAGCAGCACATCATGCACAGATTAAAGATCTAATTTAAAAAGTTGAAAGTGAATTAGGACATTACATACACTTGCTGGAGTCCTTGTCTTTGTCGATAATCTCTGACCGTTCCTCTCTGTTCTCTCTTTCTTACATCTTTATCTCTGACATGGCATTCATTAACTCTCAGGAAATACGGCAAATGTACATTTAACTAGCAGACAAACTGTGTGACAAACTGTGCAGAAACAAGTTGTGTGTTTGGTGATACTTGTTGCGTTATTTGAAAAGCTGAATTTAAAATAACCTGCCATTTAAAGAAATGCCAAAGTACCACAACTGCAACTTCAGTCACATCTGCACCCTGAATGCATCACGAGAATGAGAAAAGGAATGTGTTGAGGGTGTATGTAAACCTGGGATATTTTTATTTTTATTGTTGCTGAGCAAAGCTGTCCATGCTGTCACTGGAAGCGATGTCAGGTTGTAACACGTGAAAATATCACGTAACGCATATGTGAAAGTAATATGTATTAACCTGCCTGTCAGACTTGATGGCTCATTAATAGGTGTTGGAATGCTAATTCCAGTCAACTTTAACCCAAGTACAGTACTGTAAAACAAATTTTAAAAAAAAGTTAATTAAGAAAGTTTCATGGCATGGTAAGACTTGCATTGTGACTCATTTATTTATCTGGTTTTATACTCACATGCTACTTTTCTGGCCTTGACTAAGAAATGGCATAACCAATTAACCAAAAACATGCTACACATAGCAGCAAACACTAAAATCTGTGAGAAAGTGTGTAGATTAAATGAAACAACATTGAAATGAACCGATACTAAGATTTGCATGACACTGACTCAATCTTCAAATCTCCCTCTTTAAATGTTGTCCATCTCTGGTCCAGTTACCCACCTGAGACACTCTAGATAAGCACGTCCTGTAGTCCAAAGAGTGTCTTCCTGCATCCAGAATAATCACACAGGTGCAAACGCAGGACTGTCAGCTTCCTCCCTTTGAAAATGATATTGTGGCTACATTTGCACCTCTCTTGGCTTTGTGCCTGCATAAATATAGAAGACCTTACTCTTTCCAGTCCAGCTGCAATAGCCTTGCTGTCTGCCATCTTCATACTGTCTGACATTTGGATGCTTTGCCCTCCACGCACCTAACTGGCTTACTCTGTTTGGTAGGATGAGCCTAAAGAAACTTTGCTTGTTTTTTGTTGAAAATAAAGTATTTTACACAGCTGTAGTGTACTTTATAGCAGAAAACAGTCACTGTGATTGCAGTGACTTTGTCCCTGACCCCCATTCCCCACCCTAGATCCCCCTTCAAAAAAAACCCAGAAAGTCTCTTTATGATCTGGAACATAAAACACTGCCAAAGAGAAGACGCCGTCCTCTATCGCTGCATACCAGAACCACCCACTCCTTTAAGCTTCGTAAATGTCAGCTTGAATAACGCCAGACCTTGATGAAGAGTGAACAGATCTCGTTTTAATCAAGCATCTGAGAATCACTTTAAGAAGGTGTGATGAGGTAAAATAGGTTTAAAAATACCGTCAAACGCATTAATGGTTTACATTTGTGAATCATGTTGTGAATTAATTATGGCAACTGTTGATTTTCTAGTGTTTAGCCTGATAGAGCTGCATGCAATTAGGTGAGGGAAAATATAAAGAAAATATAGGAAACGGTTACATCTAGAGGACATTAACTGCACATGGGAAAAACAAATAAAATAGAATAAAATTACTAGAAATTTAATACTAAAATTACTAAAAATGAAACAATTTCTTAGCTATTACCTACGATAATTCCATTTTGTGCCTCCTGTGGGCAGAAAACTCACTGGTATGGCAAACCTTTTCAGCAAACAGTTAGTTATTTACACAGGTGGGAAACAGGGAACAACATTATGATTCATTTGGAGTCATATTGCGGTCCACCTGGGAAATGGAAGTCAAATATATCCCCTTTGGTTTTCGGTCCTTTACAACTCCTGATGGAAACAGCTCAGAGGGTTTAATACAGACCCAGAAATTTGGTTCAGGATGCTTCAAGTCACCTTATGTGACTTTTTGCTTCAATACCAGGGAGATAAAAATGGATTTTATGTTTAAATATGTAACAAAACAAAGACTGTTGCAAAGTAATACAGAAAAAACCGCAGTCATTAAAACTCCCATAGGCTTAAAATTCACTTAGCTGCAGTCTCACACTGACACTAATAGATTCCTAGCATGCAATGAGAGATGGCATGAGCAAAACAGAGATGAGGCACTGTATATCCGAAGGCTTATCACTATTCTGCACAGATGTGGCTTGTGTGCGTGTCCAACTTGATGCCTGCTGATGTATAAATGGTGTTCTCTTCTTTGTATATTCTTCAGGTGGCTGTGACAGGGGCACCCCCGGGGCAGGACCCATGAGGAGTCATAGAAGATGCTCACAGCCTGGGCGCTTCTGCTCTTCTTAGCCATGTGGGTGAGAAGCACCTTTGGTGGCCCGCTCTCCTTTCGAATAGGTAAATTGCAAAACATAATGGCTTCCACTCTATACAGTGCATGCTTTTCATTCTACTTGAAATATCAGTGAATGAGTGCGTTTAAGTTTTTAATTGTTGACTGGGAATGTTGCTTCAGAACTGTCAGCTCAGATAGCTGGATACTCTAATCTTTGCAGTCTCCACAGTCTTGATAAAACTGGCTGGAGGAATTCAATCACAAATGTTGAAAAGTAGCCATGTTTCCTCACATGGCTGTAACACATGGCCTGAGGTATCAAAATTAATGTGTGAATGTGACACAGTCCTAATTGTCTGTAAGATACTACAGAACTACAGTCTATGATCTATAGTTGTTTTACAGTTAGCCACAGAACAGTTAATGCACCATAGACTTTCATGACAACATTATAGTTTAAGAGTATCTGGATGGTACAAACTTAATACTATATACTGTTTACTGTTTACTGTTCTTTACTGTGTATGCTGTGTACAGTGATACAGTATAGCTTTAAGCAATTAGCCACTAAAGCAAAAAAACCTATTATTCTAACTCTGCACATACTGGAGGCTATAGGTCGAGATTTCCCCACCCTTCCACCTGCATATTAAACAAAATTTAAGGTGCATAATTAGACGAGTGTCAGCTGACCTATCAGATACATTGATTACCTCTCTGTTTATTGCAGCTCTTTTGAATATTTAACTATAAAAGTAATCTGAGCATAGCAAAAATCTGACTCTTATCCTAATCTTGCCCTAATCTTGCCCTTTTTTCACTGTTGTAAGCGGCACTTGCAACTCTGCAACTATTTTGACTGTGACTGTTGGGACTATTGAACAAACATTTTAAAGCAATTGCTAAAATCTAGCAAAACCACTGCAGTACTGTGGTTCTGGAAATAGTGGCTGATCGGTGGACCAAGACTAGATTTTTCACTGGAAAGTCTGCTTCAAAAGTCACATAAACTGCTAGAGTATGCTGGTAACCGATGGAGGTTGGTCCATCTTGTTATTATTCTCCTACAGTCAGCAGCTCTCTGACTCCCTGTCACTTGCTCCCCGTCTACCAAAAGTGTGATTGACTGTCTCTTCATTTATGTATAGAACCCTTGTCTAAGGTTGGAAACGCTTGTTCGTGTGTGTGTGTGTGTGTGTATGTTCCTGTCTAGCTATCTTTGTGAGAACCAACAGTCACTTGTGAGGACACACAACCCGGTCCTCACAAATTTGAAGGCATTTAAAGGCATCTTTGAGGCTCAAAATGTGGTTTTAGTGTCAAGGTTACAATTAGGTTATGGTTAGGTTTAGGGTAAGGGTTAGGATTAGGCATTCATTTTTAACAGTTAGAGTTAGGGTAAGGGGCTAGGGAAAGCATTATGTCAATGAAGGTCCTCACTAAGATAGCTGAACGGGGTTGTGTGTGTGTGTGCACTACATATAGAAATTAATAGCATACAGTGAAACTGAGATAGAGATTCAGAATGACATTGATTCTGCGGCTCCCAAACTGTTCCCTGCTGTGATGTCTCAGTGGTCAGCTTTCAACTGTTCTTTTAACAAGAACACTTGAAAGTGAGATCTGTGTGCAGGTTAGAAGGGTGCAAGTTAATAGCACAGACGCTGTGTACAAATGGCCATGTGGTTATATTAAGACTATTAAAACATCAAATAAATCCAAAGGGTGCATTAAAAATAAGAGTGCCTCTTTAGATGATGTACAAATGCAATTCTAATTGTTCAGAAGAAAAAAAAGAAAAAAGCTCAGGGCTTCATGGCTGATAAATGCACATTGGAACTTTAACGTGTCATCCTTTCTTGATCTTTTGTCTTTTCCCTTTACTTCTCTTGTGTGTAAAAGTCTTTTTATCTTTCCAGTATTTTGAACCTTGACGAAACTGAATCAGTTCAAACTGTCATTTTTGAGCGCTATCACCATCTCTTATTTTTGAACAAGGCATTTATGTATCACTCACTGTTTTTCTACCCTGTCTGTTCTGTCTCATACAGTAGCTCTGTCACAGCACATCTGCTGTTTGCAGAATTTTTGCTGGATTGTCACATAATGCCCCAAACCATTTTCTGTATTTTGAAAACAGCAGAGTTTCAGAGTTTACTCTATCAACACAACCAAGAACAAATCATTCCTTGTTTGTGAATATCATCTGAGAAGTAGCTTGCAGCCGCATGCCTTTTCTTTCTCCCTGTTTTCCCTGCCACCCTCCACCTGATTGTACCAGTTCCACAGCAGTGGTGGTTTATATTTATCTCAATGTTGCATCGTTGATGGATAATTAGGTGCTTGGCCTGTTTTTGTACATTTCTTCTAATCTCACATTTGCACAGAACCCCATTCATTGCTACTTTATTCCAGTACAAGGCATAGATATGCAAAAGTACAAACACACAGCCACATATACACGTTTCACAACCCACAGAGGCACACAAACAAACACGTAACCCAAAACACCACTACAACTCTGCCATTTGAGCTGCAGGAGATGGTATTTAACATGGCCGTCCCTAGAGTCCTGCCTGGCTGGCATAATGTCACTGTCTGGCCTTCTCTGAATGTGTGAGTGCCAAAAACAACCTCCTGTCCCTCACACATTTCCACCAGGACCAGCCAGCAGCAAGCTCAGTGTAGGTGAACTGAGGAACTTCTCTTTGTGTCTGCCATGTTCTTAGCAAATCCAGGGATTAGGATCTACTTTTGTTGGAAATTAATTAAACCATGTAATGCAAAGTAAGTCTATTTACTTTAATTTTGATGAGGAAAATTTGTATAAATATAACATGTCTTCTGGCATTTTTACTGCTGTCTTGTGGTGGGGAACGAATTATGGGATAAACAATGTTTAAGTTGCAGTGGAGTTGCGATATCAGCCTGGGAAAGTACAAATTGATTTTCCTTCATTGTTCTTTAAAAAAAAAATGAAAGTAACGACAAGTGAAGCCTTAACCAAATAAAAGAAATAAAAGAGGTGAAATCAATCGCCAAAATATAAATATAAAAGAACAAAATGAGAAAACAAGAAGACAAACTGCAAACACTGCCTAAAAATGCTGGTTCACTACCATATGGTGCAGCTTGTTGCTGTGGGTGGTATTCAGCCATTAGTTAAGTGAAAAAGTGTCTCCTGTGTAATTCTATCCAGCTAATAACTTGGTACTTATGCTTATTTCCAGACAGTCATCTTCTAAACACACATTGCTGTTATGAGCTAGTGTCTGCTTTTTGTAATACAGAGAATAGCTGAGCTATTCAGGACCAGTGCAACTTCAATTTCAACAGAGAGCCTAAACATCTAGCTGGGTTTATAAAGAAATTTAATCAATGCCTCAATATAACCCATGGACAGTGTTCTTTTAGAGCATACGTGAAGATGAATGAAATCAAAATGACAAAACTGATCAAATGAAATGGAACTTACTGAAATAAGATGAAGTCTCTTTCTGTCTTGAAATGAGAAAGGTCCTTTAATGATTCTTGGGGCCCAAATAGCCAGACTGTGACGAAATTTCCGGTGTGCTGTCTCTATTATCTACTACCCAGGTAGGACTAATGGGGAAATTATGGTTCAGCAGTGGTGTCATGTGGGCAGTCTGTTGGCAGTCCATGGGCAGCTTTGGACTGCCTTTCTACCTGCAGAGAGTGTCTGTTGTTAGATTGGGGGCACAGCCAAAAATATGTGGTACAATTCGTCTGCAAGCTACTCTTTCTTCTGCTGTTGTTGGTCCATCAGCCAGCTGAGAGAGAAGTTCTTACATCTAAAGAGCTGAAGTGAAACCAAGTGAAAAAACAGTGTCCACTGTAGTCACTGTCTGTGCTTTTTTTTTCTTTTCTTTTTTTTGGGCAAATCTCAGCCTTTCACCAATGCATGGCGAGCACCGTGCAGTTGTGATTTTGGAATATTTTGATGGAGAACTTTAGTGGCAGCTGACCACCTGCCCCAAAAGGCTCTCCTCAGGAAAATACCTCCACGAAAAGACACAACCAAGGTACCATTAATTAAACATTACAGTGCATAGCGCATATCTGAAATCCAAAGGAATGGCTTGACACACTTCTACACATCTTCTATGATAATATCATTGGCTATACCATTTTAAAGACCATCCTGAATCTCCCTGGTCTTCGCCTACCATCAGTGGTTCTTCAGAATCTTTTCTTCTAGTTCAAAAACCAATCAGGATTTCTCAGCACTAAGAACTAGTCCTCACAGTTCAGGGCCAGGATGTCTTTGTTGTGGTCTGTCACCATCACAGAGCAAAACCGTTACACAATTAGAGGCAGTAATCTCACCAGGAAGAGGCAAACACACTTCCTGTGCATAAGGTTGTGTCGCACATAAACCAACCTTACAGCAGCCCCGAGAACATAATGTGAAACAGCTCTAAATGATTAAAAAAGGGTTTTAGTAGCTCTGTCTTTCACGTGGATTTCGCTACAATTAGAGCAATATTCAACAACACTACCAACATTGTCTTTGCCCTGCAGAGACTCTCCATTCTGGCTGGTTTAATAGGAGAATATGAAAGTAAATTATCCGCCCCTCATACATGAACATGCCACATAAACACTAGTATTTTTTATATATGCTCACTTTATTTTTATTGGTGCTTTATTTTATTAAGTCACTTTGCATTATATGAAAAAAAGTATTAAGCCACACCTAAGGTATTTTCAGAGCCATTGCTACAGGTGTATAAAATGAAGAGCATCTAGCTATGTAGATAGCTATGTAGAACATTTTTGAAACAATGGGTCATTATAAAGTGCTCACTGACACTGAGCATGGTATAATAGCATGCCACCATTGCAACCATTACATTGTATGTAAAAGTAGCTGACGATCTGCTGGCTCTAACTGCTTTGCTGGCATTAATATCAGCACAAACACTGTGCTGGGAGCTTCATGGCATTAGTTTCCATGCTTGAGCAATTCCTGTAGGTGTACTACAGGAGTACTAAGAGTACACTGTACTCTTTTACGGTGTGGTCTGCTGGTGTGGCAGCT